CCCCCACCCGCGAGACCAGCCATTCTATTCCCTACTCGCTCAGAGTTTGGAGGAGAGGAGGAGCCGCGTGGTAGGGCTTTGGGAAGAGGCAGGGTAAGGGCGCGCTGCTAAAATTCATTGCAGGGAACATTTGGGTCCTTACGGTGAGATAAAGGACACAAAGACAGATTCACAGCCTCCCGCCTGTCCATCGTCCCCCTCGCTTCCCAATTATCTAACAAACACTCACGAGATAAGCACTCGGTAATTCAAAGGCCTAATCCCCCCTACCTACCCTTTGGTGCAGTTTTGCAGAAAGAAGGAAACCCCAGAGTGGCCACATTGGGAACAGTTCTGCCTGCAGTCTCAGGCCCTAGGCAGCAGCGTGATTCCTGACACAGCCTGGAATCAGTGTCAGAGGACCTGTGGTTCTCTGGGCCTCATAGGTGTATCAAGATTTAAAAAGAAAAACAGATACAGGACAGCGCCCGTAACTCAGTGAGTAGGGCACCGGCCACATACACCGAGGGAGGGTGGTGGGTTCGAACCTGAACCGGATCGGACCAGCTAAAACAACAATAACAACTGGAACAACAACAAAAATGGCCAGGAGTTGTGGCGGGCACCTATATTTCTAGTTACTGGGGAGGCCGAGGCAAAAGGATCGCTTACATCCAGGAGTTTGAGGTTGCTGTGAGCTGTGACACCACGGCACTCTACCCACAGCTTGAGACTCTGTCTCAAAAATAAAAATAATAATAAAAAAAGAAAAATAGATATAATAAGAAATGTAGAACACAATGAAAGTGTGTATGTGTAGGATATATTATTGAATGAGCTGCATACAAATAAATGACTGATCAGCTGCCGGGAACTCTACCTTCCTACACCAAAATAAATTCCAGATCTATTAAATACATAAAATTCATGTGCAATTATGGGTACTCTGTATTTTCATATTAAAAGTGAAAACATAAAAATAGTCAAATCATAAAGTTTTTGTTTTGTTTTTGCTTACAGTCGTGGTGTGGGCGTGACATCTCTAAGCAAGATGTAAAGGGAAATATTAATAAATGTGACCATGTAAAACACTTGAGTGAATAAATTACTATAAACTAAACTTGAGAGAGAAATGACAAATTGAAATATTTGCAACTGGGCTCAGTGCCTGTAGCACCAGGAGCTGGCGGGTTGGAGTCCAGTCCCTGCCTGCTGGATAGCAATGACAACTAGAACCAAAAAGTAGCCGGGCATTGTGGTGGATGCCTGTAGTCCCATCTATTTGGGAGGCTGGGGCAAGAGAATTGCTTAAGCCCAGGAGTTGGAGGTTGCTGTCAGCTGTGATGCCACAGAGCTCTACCCAGGGTGACAGCTTGATGCTCTGTCTCAAAAAAAAAAAAAAAAGAAAAAAGAAAAGAAAAAAAGAAAAAGAAAGAAATATTTGCAACCAGTAAGACAGATGAAAACCTACTTTCCTTAAGAGCTCTTAAACAGCAGCAAGAAAAAAATGATCAGGCTCGGCGCCTATAGCTCAACCGGCTAAGGCGCCAGCCACGTACACCTAAGG